TTCAGTGCACGCCAAGACCTCAAGGGTGGGAAGATCAAATTCTTTGACCTACCCAGCAAATCTGTCATTTCCCTTGTATTTGACCTGGATGCACCGGGGCCTGGAACTACGCCTCTGGCTGACAGTCAGGAGCCTTTAGCCATGTCTTCCAGACGGTGGCGGTCTTTGCCTGGCTCACCTGAGTTCTTGCATCAGGCTTGTCCATTTGTGGGCTGTGAAGAATCACTATCTGCTGAGCCTCCACCACGACTCAGTAGTCTCAAGTACAGAGTAAGAGAGATCCCACCATTCCGGGCAACTGCCCTACCAGCCGCTTCCGGCCACCAGGCCATGGATTGTTCCAACCCCCAGGAAGAAAACGGTTTTGGACCCAGGCCCAAGGGGACCAGCCCATGCGTTGGAACTGCCTCTGAGGAGATGGAAGTGGAAGCAGAAAGGCCACGAATGGCTCCTGTCCACTTCTCTGTCTCTGGAATAAGCTTGCAAACCCAAGGAGAGCAGGATGGGTGAGGTGGGGGGAGGACTAGTCCCTGCCTCACCTTGGGGATGGACCTTCAGCTGAAACTACTGCATCCCCTTGGTGCACATCCTGGCTCTTCCCTGGAGCTCCCTTTACAAAAGCAGGCAGGCTGAGAGGCCTGGCTTAAAATTGGGCTTTCAGTGCCCAGTGGCTGCAACATGAGGCCTTTCAATAGTTAGGGCCACCTAATTCTAAGCCTCTGAAATCCCACCAGGAGCTCTAGCTCCCAGACTGCAGTGCATGTCCTAGATAGGACCAAAGGACTCTTAGTTCCAGGCTGAGCTGGCAGGTACTATGCAGCTATTATCCCAGTTCCTTTGCCGCCTCAAGTCTCTCACGCCCACTCTAGGGCATATAAGGTACAGGATGGAAAGGGGAATTGACTAGGAGGCTGTGAAGGGCATGGCTGTTTCTCAGACCTGAAGACTGGGATGCTTCTTGCCAGTATGTCTAAGACACTTGAATAATTGCTGTTTGCACTTACTGTATGGTCAGACCACATCACTACATCTCTATGCAAGGGGGAGACAAGGCAATGTGGAAGTCAAGGATCTTTTAGCTAACCTATTCAAAGACCTTTCCAGTTGATTAATCTATTTTCATATTTATAAAGGACTCTAATGTTTTGCCTCAAGACTTTCAACCCTAGCGTTGAGAGTGGGGCTGGTTTTGTAGGCCCTAGGGCCTGCTGTATGTATGTGTCAACAGGTGATACAACCAGTTAGTTAATGGTTTATACTTGGACTGACTTTCTTCCCTGCTATAGCTGGAGCTTTGGGAAGTCTGTCCTTACAGAGCCGCAATAAGATATAACCAAAGAATGAAGTTGGTCAAATATTTTCATAATTCATTTCTCTTGATTTTTTTTTTTTGTAAAACTTTTTCCCAAGACACTTTCAGATTAAAAAAATAATAAAGTTGATGTTGCAGGTGCTCTTTAGCCTTATTTGTACCCAAGCCTCTCAGTCTGTAAAACAAACTGGTAGTGAAGTACTCAGTCTCTGCCAGGACCTGCTTGACAACTCTGCATTAGTAAAATGTGACGTATACAGGCCAAAGACTCAAATAACTTCTTTTGATGTACAGCTCTGGCCGACTTGGAATTCACTGTGTAGGCCGTGAACTTGTAGCAATCTTCCCGACTTGGCCTTCAGGGTAGTGGGATGGACAGATACAAGCCACTATACATTGACAAACATCTTCTCTCCTATTCTCTTCTGCCTGGGCTTAGTACCAGGCAGATGTTGGAGTCAGCTGCTGCCCCAAGCCAGCTTCATTTTCTGGTTGTGGGCTTTGGAGGGACGGGAAAACTGGCTCTTGGCCACTGTGAGGGGTACAGTTTTGCCACTTAGATATACTTTGTTGTGACATTCAGGAAGCCAAGGTTCAGAGCTGCAGAGCTGGGTTCCCTGGCTCAGGCCCACATAGGCCATCACATAACCTGTCATAAAGGCATCAAAACCAGCGCGATGCAATCCATCTCCGGGCACAGGATTAGGACTGGTTTGGTTCACCGGCAGTTCTGAGGTAGCCACATCAGCTATTTCAGAACTTACTGCTTCATGCTCCATCTCCAAGCCACCTTTGTGACCTTGCTTGGAGCCAGGCTGATCCCTAGTTTCACCCTCTGCTACTTTTTGCTCAGTGTTCTCAGTCTTGAGGCTATCTTCACAGACCTGCTTTGTGGGGGGACCTTCTTCAGCTTCCTCAAAGGTCTGCATCCCTGGCTGGCTCAGCAAAGCCCTCCGGCGTTTGTCCTTACGTCGTCGCCGTCGCCGCTTATCCTCTGCCACAGCCTCATCAGTGTCAATTATGAGGTCAATATCATGTGACTGAGGACACTGTGGTCCTAGAGGACACCAGCCATAGGCCTGGAGGTTGGAAAGAGTCTAAGAAGGGGTTCCACAATTAGAACCTCCCCTTCCCGAGAAATGAATATTCTTACCGAGAACTTGTCACAGATGCCACCGGTATGAGAACGATGGTAGGTTACAGGGGACATACAGCAGCGGTAGTCAATATGGCCTCTCATACTAGATGGATAGCTGCAGAACTCCAAGGCAAGATGTGGGCTGCCAGCTGCCCGCTGCTTCCCATTTTCCCGTTCACTGCAACAGCCAAGAGGGTATTACTCCACTAGCATGTAAGCTCCACAAGAGCAGGGGGGTTGTTTTGTTCACTGCTGAATCCTCAGCACCTGAAAACAGTGTCTGGCATATGGTAAGTACTTGATAAATAATCTTAAGTCAATTAAATAAGCTTATACCAGGCCCCACCCCTTTCCATCAACCATGTCCTCACCATTTCCGGAAAGCGTATTCTAAGTAGGAAGCTACAAATCGGGCATGAAACTCTGCAGCATATTTGGTGTCATAAATGCCTGCTGGGAACATCTCACACAGGTCAGCAGTGAAGGTTCCCAAGTTCTCAGGTAAGTGTGCGTAGAAGTTCTGATACAGGAACACCAAATCTATAAGGCCGTTATGTAGCACCAGGGGCCGACGGGCCCGAATTAGTTCAAGGAACAGTGTTCTCACTGACTGGCTCTGGCTCTCATCTCCCTAGATGAAAGGGAAAAGGTCCGTGGAAAAGACAGAATGCCCAGTCAGCAACTGTATATCTAACCCAGGTTCCGACCTGGAAAGTACTCCCTTATTATCTAACCCAAAGCTTCTCTCCCTTGACTGTCTCATGTTTTCCCAGCCTTGTGAACACTTGACTCCCCATACTCTCAAGCAGATGTTCCCCAGGCCTATGGTAGCAAGAAATAAGCCACAGGGGACGAACAGACCTACCTTGTCATTGCCCTTATGGTAGGGGATGCCCTGAGCATACTGCCGGTTGAAGTTGAACCCGTGCTGTACCAGGAACTGCACAGACTTTGGTTCTATAACATACTCCTCCATGCAGAGAAGGGTGAGATTGAACACTTGGGCCAAGTAGGAATTCTCACCCTGAAAAACAGGAGGATCTGCTCTATTAAAAACAGTCTTCAGGATCTCAACTCTTCTATCCCATGCCTCAGACCTGGGATGAGGGTAACTCATACCTTATCTGGCTGCTGCTTGAAGCAGGCGAGGCCCAGGGACAGCACAGAACGTGTCCTGGCAGCATGACACACGGCCTTGTAACGTTCCTCGATGCACCTGAGAGTTAGGTTTGAACATGGCTGTGGCTGAATTAGTTTCACAACAGACCAAACTACCCAGGGCTGGTCCCCCCTATCTCTAGGGTTGAAATCTATATACTTGTTAGAGCTAGGATTAAGGGCAAGGTTTATACTTACTGGTTCAGCAAACTCTTCCTGTCCCCAAGCCCACTAAGCTCCTACGGGGTAAAGGGGGGCTGTGATTATCCTTCATACCCATTACCAAACCCTGCACAACCTACACCCCCAACACTTCCCCCCCACCCCGTTTCCCATGCTTCACCGTATCCACAGCCACAAAGCTAGCTGTCTTTAAGGCTAGCAAGAGTGATGGCCATATCTCCTTGAAGTTGTCAGTCTGTACGTCTACCACAGGGACCCGTATCACAAACTCCTCTTCAGATTTTGTGTTTTTGTTGACAACACCTGGGGATAAGGAAGGGATGGATTTTCATGTTCCCACAGGTTTCAGTGGGTCGGACACCATGCCAGACACTGACAAGCTTCCCCCTCAAGATTTTGCATCCACTGGCTCTGAACACAAGGCTTGGAGTGGACAGTGCCCTAAATTTGGAAAGAGCATTTGTGTCTTCCAGTAGCTTTATGTGGGGCTAGGAAATCACTTCCGTTTTTTGCATGTGAATCAGGAGAGAGGTAGGCTAGACATGCTTTATCCTTCGAGCCTGTAATCCTAGGACCAGGGAGCATAAAGCTGAAGGACCCTGAAATCGAGGCTAGCCTGAGCTACAGAGCAAGACCCTATCTCAAACACAAACATCCTATAAAGCCACATATTCGTGGTGCTTCAACAGCTACCAGAGTGCTTCAAAGTCAGACCCACGACTACACACTTCCCCGGTGTTACCTACTGCCAACCACCAGCTCCATCCAAACCACACCTCCCAACCCGCCCTAACAGTCCAACAGTACGGGCTTTGCCGTTGCACGCACTGCACACTGGGACTTGTAGTCTCCTGGGAGATTTGAGAAAGGCCTGTTTCCGAACTACCGACCCGAGGCTCTTCCCTCCATAGGACCGCGTAGCTTTCTGTGGCTACCCCCTGGGAAACCGCTCACCATCAGAGGTCGGTGGAACTGAGAGCCCACCGTCATCACTGTCGGCGGCCATGACGCTGCGCGCCCCTCGCCAGCCGCCTGCAGGCACGCGGAGACTTCCGCTTCGTCTCCCGTAGTGGCGCCGGTCTAGGACAGGGCGGGGTCTCGGCGTCGGAGTCCCCGTAAGGTCAACTTCCGCTCCGAGTTGCCGGGCTGAGCGCAGAGCGCGGGCCTTGCGCGCGCTGGGTGTCTATTGGCTGAGCGTCCGGACGCGAGCGGAGCCACGCCCCTCGGGAGGTGCTCTGGAGCCGCGGGCTGGAGACTGCGCGGGAGGTAATTTCTAGTTCCGCACGCTGTGGCGGGAACTTGGAACCCTCAGGTTCTAGCAGGCCGTCGCTTCCACGCGGCCCGGGCGCGGGCTGCGCAGGCTTCCCGGGGGGGAGAAGGCTTCCTACGCGAAAGCATGCCTGGAAGGAGAGAGGGGTGCACGGCACAGGACAAGGGGTCTGAGTAGACACGACCGCAGAAAGATGCAGGAAATGAGAGGGAAACGTTCTGCAGGACATGGCTAGATAGGTGATGAAGCGACCATTAACAGGACCCCTTTTTTTTTCTTTCTTTCTTTCTTTTTTTTTTTTTTTTCACTTTTATGTATACTGGTGTTTGACTGCATGTAGAGTCTTATGTGAGGGCGTTGGATCTTCTGGAACAGGAGTTACAGACGGTTGTAAGCTGCCATGTGGGTGTCTGGGAATTGAACCCAGGTCCATTTGGACGAGCAGTCAGTGCTCTTAACCGCTGAGCCATCTCTCCAGTCCCCGACAGGCCCGCTTTTAAGATAATTCACACAAGTGGTAATGTGCATTTTGAGTTACGGCTTTAGGAGTAGGGTGGCAAGGAAGAACCAGCTTGTCTGAATTTGACCTTTGTCACCTTCGAACTGTCGGAAAGCAGTCCCACCCAAGGGCGTGGGCTGAGCCTCTGGTCCCAACTACCTGTATTTCTCCTTATACTCTAAGGGGAGTGTGCTTTTTCTTCTTTTTTTTCAATATTTAGGTATTTTAATGTCTGAGTGCTCTGTCTTCATGTATAACTGCACAGCAGTAGACAACAGCAGATCCCAGTATAGATGGTTGTGAGCCACCATGTGGGTGCTGGGAATTGAATTCAGGACTTCTGGAGCAGACAGTGCTCTTAAACGCTGAGACATCTGTCCAGCCCCGGGAGTATGCGTTTATCAATATGCAGCATTACCTGACCTCGCTGAAAAAGGAATCTTCCCACATCCCATTAATTCATTTAACAAGTTTGTATTTGTACAATAAATATTTGGCACAGGCTCTGAAGAAAGAAGAGATGTCTCAGGATTGTGGAGTTTTTGTTTTTAAGATAGCAGTTTTTGTTTGTTTTTAAGATAGTATAGGGCCACATGCCTTTAACCCCAGCACTAGGAGGTCGAATTCCAGGACAGCCAGTGGCTACACAGAGAAACCCTGTTTCAAAAAAACAAAAAGATAGAGTCTTATATAGCACAGGCTGCCCTCAAAGTTATCTTAAAAAGAAAACAAGGGGTGGGGGTCTGGAGAGGTGGCTCAGTGGTTAAGAGCACTGCCTGCTCTTCCAAAAGACCCCAGGTTCAATTCCCAGCACCCATATGGCAGCTCACAACTGTCTGTAACACCGATTCCAAAGGATCTGACACCTTCATACTAATGCACACAAAATAGAATTAAATAAATTATTATTATTTTTATTTTTAAAGGGTGGTGGACAGGGTGGTACATGCTTTTAATACCAGCATTCCGGAGGCAGAGGCCTCTTGAGTTTGAGGCCAGCCTGGTCTACAGAGCAAGTTTCTGGGCAGCTTTAGCTACACAGAGAAAAAAGACAAACCAAAAGAAAAGAAAAGCCTTCAATCTCCATATCTGGAGTGCTGGGTTACAGGTGTGTACCACCACTCTGGTGCGTTTGATATTTTTAAAGATTTATTGTTATTCTTTTTAATTACACGTATGATAGCTTTTGTGAGTGCAGGTGCCCATAGAGGCAAGAGGCGTCGGATCCCAACCCTGAACACATGCATCTTACAGCCTTCTAGTCCCCCTAGCCCAGGGCTGATTACGTTTCTGGAAACAATACACAGGAGTGTGCCCCCCCCCCGGGGGGGGGGGGCTGCACATGGGATCTGGGTATTGAACATAGGACTTCATGTTCCCCAGACATTCTCTAACTGACCCCCCCATCCCCACTCCCCATCTTCTCTTGTCTCACATCCTACCATTCACCGCCTGTCGGCTTCACTACATCATAACTAGACTGCTTGCAGTGCTGCACACATGCTTGGGGGGGGGTTGTTTTGTGGGTTTCTCTGTGTAGCCTTGGCTGTCCTGGCTTTGTAGACTAGGCTGGCCCCAAACTTACAGAGATCTGCCCACCCCTGCCTCCCAGAGTGCTGGGATCACAGGTGTGCGCCACTGAGCCAGGCTGGCTGGATTTTGCTTTTTTAACTTTTACTTTTTGTTTGTTTAATGTATAAATGAGTGTTTCCCGGTATATATAGGTTTGCACAGGGAGGGTCCCTGGTACCCACGAGGCTAGAAGAGGCTGTGGATCCCTCGGGATTACAGATGACTGTGAGCCACTGGACTCAAACCCTGTGTGCTCTGCTCCGATGCCCTCCACCACGGAACTGGATAGATCTCTCTACCTCCTAGGCTTTGTGTGTGTGTGCTTTTGTTTGTTTTAGATAAAACCTGTGTTCACCATCCTCCTTCCACATGCTCAGCTTCCACAGTGCTGTTTTGTTTAAAGTAGAATAAGAAGACATTGACCAAAAGAATCAAAAAGTAAACGTGACATTGCAAATCATAGAAAAGCTGCAGTGGAGAAGTTCAGATACGGCGGTGGCAAAAGCCTTTAATCGCAGCACTGTGGAGGCAGAGTTCCAGGCCAGCCAAGGCTACACAGTGAGACCCTGTGGCAAAAAAAAAAAAAAAAAAAAGTCTGTCTGAGAGCAAGTAGTGTGTCCTGAAAACCCTCTAAAAGCTGCATCGTGGCTATACCCAACCTCCCCACCTTCTCTTGCCTCCCATCCTGCCACTCACCGCCTCTCGGCTACATTACATCACAAATAGACCGTGTGCAGTGCGCAGTGCCCAGTGCCGCACACATGCTGGCCATCCTCAGCCAGCCTGGCTTTTTAGAGGAAGGTCTTGTGTCTTTGTTTGAGACTGGGTCTCACTTTGTAGTCCTGGTTGGGCCGGAACTTAATGCGTAGACTAGCTAGTCTGGAACTCACAGATATCTGCTTGCCTCTGCCTTCCAAAAGTCCGCATTAAAGTGCCACCATGCCTCCAAAAGATCTTAGTCATTTTCTTTGGGTTTTTTTTGGTTTGGTTTGGTTTTTTGAGACAGGGTTTCTCTGTGTAGCTTTGTAACTCCCTCTGTAGGCTTGGAGATCCCCCTGCCTCTGCCTCCCCAGTGCCAGGATTAAAGGCGCCGCCACACCCTGTAATCCTCTTTAAAAGCTGAAACACCCTTCATTCCTGTTACTTTTCCTCTTTATGCCAACAGTTACTTCTTTTAGATATCTTCTGTGATTTATTCTGTGTTCACTGTCTGCCTCTGCTAGAATATAAGCTGCCTTCTGTGTTTGCTGAGGTCCAGGGGTCTCTGCACCCATCATGCCCAGAAGAGTAATGGTCCCAGGAGGAAAGAACTATGCAGCCAGTGTTGGGAGTCACCCTGAGAACTTTACTTTAGGAGTATTTCAGTACAGCACAGTCTGGTGGAAGATTTCCTGGTCATGAATGACTCAGTGCTACCTGCACAGTAAATCTTAGGACATGACTGCATGACAACCCTTTGTTAAAGGGCGTGTGAGATCTTCTGCAAAGATGGGTTCTGTACATTGACTGTAAGACCTGGGGTCTCACAGCTCAGGAGTTCAAGAGCGCGCCCTTCCCAGAAACTCCCCCAGACCACGACTCGTTGCAAAAGCAAGAGGTTTATTAACCATTGCGCAATGGGGTCACCCCTGCTGGTCAGCAAAGAGTGGCACCAGGAGACAAAGGCCTTTAGGTTTTTAAAAGAAAAATTGCGGGAGATCTGAAGTTGCAGTCTTGGCAATTTAGGATTGGATGAGGAAGCTATAAAGTAAGATAATTGGTTAGTCTTAGGTGCTCAAGCTTGGCCAGTCCTGCCAAGTGTGGATGCAGCTGCAGTTGAAGGTGGGGGTGGTTAGCTCATCCTTGAAGGTCAGGGCTGTGGGCTTTTGGCTGGAGGTCAGGAGCTACTCAGAAGAAGGATTGAGGCCGTCTGGGTTCGTGCTAAGAAACACTATCTTGAAGACAAGGGTCTCTGGTCATTCTTTTTGCTGAGTGAAGGTCATTGCTTGCTCGCTTTTTTATATCTGTCCTCACAGATGGCCGGGTCACATTCCTTCGTTCTCTGGAAAGGCACTAAGAAGCTTTAGCTTAACCTGGGCCTAAAACTCAAAACTATAGGCTTTAGAAGATACATAGGTTACAAAATTAGTCTAACCCTTTCATTGACAAGCTCACAGTAAGAGTCTTGGGGAGGATCGGGTATTGTCTCAGTCACACAAATAGAGCAAAGGTCACCAGGCTGTTAACCAGACTTCTGGAGGGAAAACAGGCCTCCTTTTGAAGGGACAAGCCTGTGTGTTTAATCCTGGTTTCTCTAGTGCTTATCTGTGAACACAAGGATCTACACTACACTCCTAAGAGCAAGTAGGGTGACCTGAAAACCCTCCAAAAGCAATTTACACTCAGGTAAATTGTTTAATGCACAGTAGGTGTTAGATAGCTGGTGGGCAGTGAACTGGTGCATCTGCCACACACTTGGTGGGCAACACATGATGACATCATGGGTTACTAGGCAACCTAAAAGCAGGCTGCCTAAACACTAACAGTAGGCATTCTCTAAATATTTGTTCAGGGATCAATGGGAAGCCATTGCACAGTTCATGTATGGAAGTGAAAAAGCTTTCATGTTTGTTTTCTTTTTGGTGTGCTTTCATGTAGGCTACAGTGGCCTCAAACTCAGTCTTTAGCTGAAGATGACCTTGAACTCCTGAACCTGGCTTCAGCTCCTAAATGCTGGGATTTCGGTGACCACGTGTTGCTTTCTTCTTCAGAACAGGCTGCAGGAGGGATTGTGAAAGTGAGTGTGGCGTAGGAAGTTGGTGCTGAAGGGGAGGAAGATGTGCCCTGTTGAGAATATTGTAGGAGCAGGGGTCTGGGGAAAGGGTCTTCACGTGAAGGTGGGAAGAAGGCAGAGGAAATAGAGGGAAGTTTGATTTTTTTTTTTTTTTTAATCCTAAAATCGAAAGCAGGGTCACTTGATGAAAATACGGTGGTGAAGTCAAGGTACTCCGGGAGACTTTAAAACCGGTTTGGTGGGACTGCAGCCAAGCAGAAGGTGAGATCAAGTTGCTTACCTCCTCGAGCTTCTGCTTGAAGCTCCCTGCCTCCTGGAGCCATCCCGTTGAGTCCAGTCAAGCACCTCCTGGAGCTGAGCAAATAGTAAGCACCGCGCTACTGTCAAATAATTCTCCCTTCTCCCATTTACTTTATCTCTAATCTGTGTCTCGTGCATGTGTGTGAGCCCACACGTGTGCTCATCAGGCTTGGCAGCAGGCACGTCTATCTGTTCAGCAATCTGGCCGTTCCCTGTTAGGAACGATTTTTTGCAATTAGAGAAAAGATAGCCAGGAACTCAGGCAGGCAGATGTATTTTCTCATTATTATTGGCCAGCCCGTTACAATTTACTAGCCCAGGAAAAGATTAGAAATAAAAATAGCTCATCTCTCTCCTCTCATTGATTTGCCATCTGCTCTCGGGCAAATCCTTTTCCCTCTTTAATTCTTGGCTTCCTATTATCTGAAGTGAATGAGGTGTTTACTGATGGTCAGTATAAGCATGCTAGATACCTAAGCAGACAAACTTTCTACTTATCTCATACTCCTGGACACCCAAACAACCTTTTTTTTCCAAAGATTATTTACATATAAGAGCACTCTATTTGCATGTATGGCTGCAGGACAGAAAAGAGCATCAGATCCCATTATAGATAATCATGAGCCACTATGTGGTTGCTGGGAATTGAACTCGGGACCTCTGGAAGAGCAGCCCGCTTTTAACTGCTTAAGCCATTCCTTCAGTCCCCCAAACAATCCTTAACCAACCATGCATGGTGATAAGCATCATGTATGTACAAGTGCTCCTTGGCTTGTGGCCCAGCCCTGCGCTTTCCCTGTCCCTATACTCTTTGTCTAGCATTCCCTGAAGCTACTTGGCTCATCTGTTTTGGTCACACCTCCATGCCATAGTTCGCCAATACCAAACCCATGGGCATCGTCTTAGTTACTGTTCTACTGCTCAGAAGAGACACCATGACCATGGCAACTCTTATTTTAAAAAAAAAAAAGCATTTAAGTGGGGGCTTGCTTAAAGTTTCAGAGGTCTAGTCCATGATTATCATGGTGGGAAGCAGGCAGGCATGACGCTAGAGCAGTGGCTGAGAACTTTGCATCCAGCAAGCAGAGAGGGCCCTGGTGTGAGGTTATTTATAGCTCAAAGCCCACCCCTCGTGACACACACGCTTCAACAAGGCCACATCTCCTAATCCTCCCCAGACAGTTCCACCAACTGGGGATCAAGCATTCAAATATAGGGTTTACTGAGGCCATTCTCATTCAGACAACCACAGGCATCCTGAAAGTACTTGAGAAAAGATAGGTACTCTGTTAGGGTTTCGGTTGCTCTGATGAACCATCATGGCCAAAAGAGGAAGTTGGGGAGGAAAGGACTGTTTGTTTTACACTTCCACATTGCTGTTCATCACTGAAAGATGTCAGGACAGGAACTCAAACATGACAGGATCTTGGAGGCAGGAGCTTACAGAGGCCATGGAGGAGTGCTGCTTACAGACATGCTCCACATGGCTTGCTCAGCCTGCTTTTTTTTTTAAAGATTTATTTATTATTTATATGCATATGCACCAGAAGAGGGCGCCAGATCTCACTATAGATGGTTGTGAGCCATCATGTGGTTGCTGGGAATTGAACTCAGGACCTTCGGAGTCGGTGCTCTCAACCTCTCAGCCTGCTTTCTTCTAGAAGACAGGACCACCAGTCCAGGGAGAGCAATGGACCCTCCCTCATTGACCACTCACGGAGAAAATGCCGTGCAGCTGGATCTCATGGAGGCATTTCCTCAACTGAGGCTCCTTTCTTCTGATGACTCTAGCTTGTGTTAAGTTGACATGCAAAACCAGCCAGCACAGACACGTCAAGTATAGGTGTACACATGTATGATCTAAGTACTTGGGAGGTAAAGATAGGAGGATGAATTGTGGCTTTCTAAAGGAACAGAACTGATAGAATGAATATTCATAATGAAAGGGGGGATTTATTAGAGTGACTTACAGGCTGTGGTCTGAGTAGTTCAACCAATGACTGTCTCCTGCTGGAAAGGCCAAAAGTTTGTAGTTGGTCAGTCCAGGAGACTGGACGTCTCTGCAAGCCCAATCTGTGCTGAAGTCACCAGGGAATTCCTAGAGAGCCTGGAGTAGCTTCCACTACCATAGACAAACTTGCCAAACGGGGGAAAAAAAGCAAAAGTTCCTACCTCCTTGTCCTTTTATGTGGGCTGCCACAGAAGGGATGGCCAGAGTTAGGCTGTGTTTTCCCACCTTATGATCCAAGCACGCCCAGCTGCTTAGATTTTAGTTGATCCCAAATTGACAACCAAGATTAGTCATCACAGCAGATCAGAAGTATGCTGCCTGCCTGGGCTACATAGTGAGACCTTGTTTCAAAGGAAAAAAAAAACCGGGCTGGAGATATATATGTATATATGTGAGCACTTGCTGTTTTTGTTTGTTTGTTTTGTTTTTTAATTTATTTAATTTTATGTGCATTGGTGTGAAGGTGTCAGACCACCTGAAACTGCTTATGGACCGTTGTGAGCTGCCATGTGGGTGCTGGGACTTGAACCCAGGTCCCTTGGAAGAGCAGACAACACTCTTAACCACTGAGCGATCTCTCCAGCCCCATACTTGCTCTTCTTATAGCAGAGTTCAGTTCCCAGAATGCATACGGCAGCTCACAAACAACTGTAACTCCAGTTCCAGAGGATCTGATACCCTTTTCTAGCCCTGGAGGATAGTACTTGGTACATACATAGATGTATGCATGCTGACAAGAGACAAAAAAAAGCTAGACATTCTGAGTGATTTGGGAAGAGGTGGCTCTAATTCCTGAGGGTTCTCAAGATTCAACCTCCTTGTGGCTGACCACATTGGCTGCATCCCTCTGTTCCAGGTGATTATGAAGGCGCTACGAACATCTGTAAGGAGTCATAAAAAGCAACCAGCCAACCACAAGAGAAGGGGAAAACCTGCCAGTGGCAGCAGCCCAGCCAAGCCTTCTGCCCCTGATGGTAAGGCCTTGAGCCCTGCCCGAGTTTCAAGGGACTGGTTCTGGTTCCACTGGCCATCAAAGAGCAGATTCAGGCTGAGTACTGAGGAATTAAGAAGCTAATTCTGAGTGTTGCTGTGTAAGTTTGGGTCAGGTGCTCTGGGTATTGTCTTACTAGTAGAATGGAACAATTTCATCTATACATTTCTTCTCGGTCGTGTGGCTTTCATGGGATCAAATGAGTTTATAAGCCTGAATGCGATATGTAAAGAGGGGTGTCCCCTGCATGGGCATATATTCTGCCTATCTAAAACTATTGAGTTTTCATTTGTGGCCAGGAGAAACAGTGACATCCTGACAAAACAAAGACCAGAAATTTGGCCAAGGCTACACACGACTAGAACTTTGGTCTGCTCGCAGCTCTAAAGACTAATCGGGATTTGGGTGGGAGAAGCCCTAAGTGGGAAATGATTGCTGCAGGTTCCTGTGACCGAGTCCCTAATGACCGGAGTTTGATCTCTAGGACCCATGGAAAGGTAGGAGGAGAGAACCACCTCCAAGAATGCTGCCCCTTGGCCTCTACATACACACCATGGCATGCATGCCCATATATTCACACTGTACATAGCACAGTAAAAAACATAAAATGAATGTTAGATACTGAAGAGCCAGGCGTGCTGGTCACCCTTGTAATCCCAGCACTTGGGAGGTTGGATAGGAAAATTAGGAGTTCAAAGCCAGGCTTGGCTACACACCAAGTTTGAGGTCAGCCTGCCCTATATGAGATCCTTTTGAGACCCTGCCTCAGAAAAAAAAAAAAGTGTTGCTGGAGAGATGGCTCACTCATCAGGCAGTTCACAACTGCCCAGAATTCCAGCCCTAGGGAATCAGACACCTTGGATACACAACAGATACACACACCCCTTTAATCCCAGCACTCAGGGAGGCACAGGCAAGAGGGATCTCTGTGAGTTCAAGGCCAGCCTGTGGTGACTCACTGAGTGAGTCCAAGACAGCCAAAGGCTACGCAGAGAAATCTTGTCTCGAAAAACAACAACAGAATAAGTCTTAAAAAAGAAAAAAAAAGATTCCCCCCGTGTCCTGGCTGTCCTACAGGCCTGGCCAAGCAGAAGGGAAAAGAATTACTGCAGGCCTCTGTCTCCCGGTATCATCTCTTCAGAGACATGGCCGATGTCGTGACTTTCCGAAGGAACTTGCTCAGCTGGTATGACCAAGAGAAGCGAGACCTACCTTGGAGAAGATGGGTAGGTGGGATAGTGGGGCGGGAAGCTGGCATTAGGCCTTTGGTATTAGTCCTCACTGTGGTGTCATTGGCAGGTAGAGGAGGAGGCCAACTTGGACAGGCGGGCCTACGCTGGTCAGTATGAAGCCAGGCTGTTTGCCTGGGGGTTCTTGGGTTTAAGCCTTGTTCTTAGGTTTGGGGGCTAGGGGCTAGGAGCCGGGGCAAGATAGCAGTACCCTCACCTTAATCCCCCTTCCCCAGTGTGGGTGTCAGAGGTTATGCTGCAGCAGACCCAAGTTGCCACGGTGATTGACTATTATACCCGATGGATGCAGGTGATGCCAGGGAGGGAAGGGAGAGTTGGCTTGACCCCAGAAAAGGCTTCCTCCATCATCCTCATCCCTGACCTTATTTTTTCTTGCCTGTCTTGGGTCTACAGAAGTGGCCAACACTCCAAGACCTGGCCAGTGCTTCCCTGGAGGTGAGAGCCATCCTTGGGTAGGGAGAGTAGAAACAACTCAGGGACCACTGAGTTCAGACCACTGAACTTTGACCTCCACCTACAGGAGGTGAACCAGCTTTGGTCTGGCCTGGGCTACTATTCTCGAGGCCGTCGGCTGCAGGAGGGAGCTAGGAAGGTAAGTGGGTGGTGCCTGAAGACTAGAAGCCCATCGGCCTCAGGGATCTTCAAACTGAGCCTTTCTATTCCCCTCAGGTGGTAGAGGAGCTGGGTGGCCATATGCCACGTACAGCAGAAACACTTCAGCAGCTCCTGCCTGGCGTGGGGCGGTACACAGCTGGAGCCGTTGCTTCCATTGCTTTTGGCCAGGTTAGCCCATAGGCCAGCATTCTTAATGTGTACATTCCCCTGCCTCCAAGTCCAGTCTGACTCCCCTGCTCCTCTCTGCCAGGTAACTGGTGTGGTGGATGGGAATGTTTTACGGGTGCTGTGCCGTGTCCGCGCCATCGGTGCAGATCCCACGAGCACCTTTGTCTCTCATCACCTCTGGTAGGATACTGGGGTAATAGGAAATAGGGAAGGGTCTGTTTAAGGGGGTCTTTGCTTACAACAGTGTTCCTCACTTTTAGGAACCTAGCTGAGCAGCTAGTTGATCCTGTTCGGCCTGGGGACTTCAATCAAGCAGCCATGGAGCTGGGGGCCACAGTGTGTACCCCACAGCGCCCTCTCTGCAGCCATTGCCCTGTGCAGAGCTTATGCCAGGCACACCAGAGGGTAAGCCTCCTGAGGAAGAGGTATTAGGGTGTCCTAGAGAATGACTTGCCCCATGACACCCTTCTCTGTGTCTCTCAGGTGGAGCGGGAACAGCTCTCTGCTTCTCCAGGCAGTCCTGACATAGAAGAGTGTGGTGAGCAGCAGCCCTGCCCCCAGCCCCGACCCTGGCCCTGGGGAGCTGCCTTTTCAAGCCTGAGTAAGAGCCTGCAGTGAGACTAAGCCTCCCTAGGCTTGGCGCCTAAGACCACTTGGCGTGAGCAGGCCTTGGCGTCTTTGTTTCCAGCTCTCAACACTAGACAGTGCCAGCTTTGCCTCCCTCCCACAAAGCCCTGGGACCCCACCCTGGGAGTGGCCAACTTTCCTCAAAAGGCCAACCGAAGGCCTCCCAGGGAGGAGTACTCTGCCACCTGTGTTCTGGAGCAGCTGAGAGCCAATGGGGGTCCCCTAATCCTGCTGGTGCAAAGACCGAAATCAGGTACCTGAACACTGGGGCTGAAGGACAGCGTCACGAGCCACAGAGGGAAATGGAAGGGGCAGTAGAGGCTGACGCCCCATCTGCCTGCCATCAGGTCTGCTGGCAGGACTGTGGGAGTTCCCATCTGTCGCCCTGGAGCCCTCGGAGCAGCGTCAGCAGAGGGCCCTTCTGCAGGAACTGCAGAGCTGGTCTGGACCCCTCCCCGCCACTCAGCTCCAGCACCTGGGAGAGGTAGGTTAGCAAAGGTGCCAGCGATGAGGGCTTCTGTGTTCACATTCACAGACCTGGTTCAGTCTTCCCCCTCCCCCGCCAGGTGGTCCACATCTTCTCTCACATCAAACTGACATATCAAGTGTACACTCTGGCCCTAGAAGGACAGACCCCAGTGACCACTGCATCTCCTGGCGCTCGATGGTTGACCCGGGAAGAATTCCACAATGCTGCTGTCTCTACTGCCATGAAAAAGGCACCACCTTTGTTGTCTTCCTTGTCTTTTCTTGTCTGTCTCACATTTTTTACATGAACTCACTGCTGTAGAGATGAAATGTCTTTTTTTTTATGTGTGTTAGTGAAGGTTTCAGATCCCTTGGAACTGGCATTACAGACACTTGTGAGCTGCCATGTGGGTGCTGGGACTTAAACCCGGGTCCTTTGGAAGACCATCTCTCTAGCCCAGAAGCAGATATCTTAAACAGTCTTGCTGGGGCAGCCCATAAGCTGGGGTGGAACTCAGGGTATCGGCTCTTTCTGGAGAAGGCGCCAGCCCTGTCTTTCCTCCCTCCCCCTCCGTCCTTACTAGGTGTTCCGCATGTATGAGGGCCACCGGCAAGGGACCTGCAGGGTAAGTCTGCAAGGTTCATCCCGTCTTCCCCGAGGCCTGCCTCCACTGATTCTTAAAAGTCACTCATTGACACTTTGGGATGAATATTATCCATTCCAGGGCTTGCTGGGGGCAGAGGGACAGTTTATAAACCAGGGTCTGATTGTAGTGTGAACTGCAGGGGAGGGGGAACAAGAACAAATGGGTGTACGCTCTGGTATCAGGTATGTGAAGTGTCTGTGCGAGAGAGAGTTTTATGGAATAGTCGGTAAAAAGCCATCTGTGATGCAAGACTTAGGAAAAGCTGCTTAGAGAAAATAACTGCTAATTTGGGCCTAGAAATGAGTAGCTTTCTTCAGCCTCGGGAGGGAAAACATCAGTTAGACTGCTACACAGTGGAGTCGGCAGTGGTTACGGGGCTGGAGAGGTTGGCGTGAGCCGCAGTCAGCCAGGACATGAAAACCTGACTGCCAACACATTTTAGTGGAGAAGACAATATCTTCAAAAGATTTATTCTTAATTTATGTATTGTATGCGTCTGTGTGTGGGCCTGTGTACATTGAGTGCAGCGCCTAGAGGGACTGGAGGAGGGCATCGAATCCCCTGGGTATGATGTTATAGTTGAGAACTTCAAGACATGTGTACTGCATCCCCACCTTGGGTCCTCTGTCAGAGCAGTACACACTCCTAACCACTGAGCCATCCCTCCATCCCCACCACATTGAGACAGTTTCATATGGTTTGGGTTGGCCTCACCCTCATTATGCAGCTGACGATGTCCTTGAACCTCTGCTCTTCCTTCAGATGGGATGCCAACCAGGTGCCCACTACACTGTTAGTCAACACTAGGACTCCGACCTAGGGTTCTTGCCTGTTAAGGCAAGCCTTCTGTCAGTGGGGCTATGTCCCCGGCCCCAGCTTTGTATCTTAGCAAGATTTTCTTGGGTGCCTTTTAGGGAGTTGATTAAAGGGTTCATGCTTGAAGGCAGGTGGAAAATTCTACAGCATAATAGACTAGTAGAGTAGGTAGAAGATTCCCTGATGTGTACTCATTTTCCTTCCACCTTTGGCTTTTGCACAGGGTTCTAAAAGGTCACAGGTGTCTCCTCCATCACGCAGGAAAAAACTGAGCCGGGGCCAGCAAGTCTTGGATAGCTTCTTACAGCCTCATATCCGCACAGACACACCCGAAAATACTGCCCAGTGATACCCTGGGATCCCCACCCCAAACCCAGTCTAATAAAATGCTTGTTTTTGTAGTGCCTTTGGAGAACTTTTCCACACTTTCTCTAGCCCCTTCACTAACTTCTGAGAGACTCAGAAGATGGTAGTCAGCTCGGTTCTGACTTCCTCTGGCCGAGCTCCCCGGCAGACCTGGAAGGCAGGAGGCAACCTGACCAGAGTGTTCTTTCCCAGGAAAGCGTGAGGGCAGCTGCAGGGAGCACCTGTCCATGGCTGACTGGCTTCCGTCACTCCTGTCTGGGCTCAGGCCAGCTCTAATTGGAGCTGCAGCATCGCAGGCGGTTGGGCTAGCACCCACACCTGGAACAGTTGGTCCCTAGGGAGGTCAGCTTAGAGGAGGCTTTGTATTAAATTCCTTCCTCAAAAACAGAATCGAATCATTTATTCAGGGTACATTTCAGGTGCAGCGAAACTTCAGAAAGCAGAAGGGCTAACAGTCGCAAATCTTGAAGGGTGCAGGGAAGACAGGCTCAGGGGTGTTGGTTGTTTGTGTCTTCCGACCTCATTCCTCAGTTTATTTCTCCTAGCTGTGTTAGGCAGTTTAGGAGTGGTCTTTCTAAATCCTGTCTCTTTGGAGTCCAGTAAGAGGCTCTACAGTTGGCAGGTACCCGTTGGGATGAGGATCACACCTGTCCGGAAGGGATAGCCTCTCTCCTTGGTGTGTTTCTGCGGAGTGTGTCAGTTCCAGCAGGCCTGTGCTGGACTTCAGAGCACCGAGACAAGGGGCAACTCCCAGCTCCAGCCTGGGTTAGGCTCCCCGGGCCCTGGCGGCTTCCTCTTGCACCGACTGCCACAGTGCCCGGATGTTGTTCTGGCCAAAGCCTGTGGCTCCCTGTCTCTGAATCAGCTCCAGGAAGAAGGTGTCCTCAGGGAAGAGGGACTTGGTGAAGACCTGAAGCAAAAACTTGTCTTTATCGCCATCCAGTAGGATTCCCTGTCGTTCTAGAAGGCTAGGCTTGTGCCCCGAGGCTATGATTTGTTCCTCTTTGCCGGGCTGCTGGTAATAAGCTTCAGGAGGAGCCAGGAGCCGGCCTCCTGCCTTCGCTATCCCTTCAGAGGCTTCTAAGATGTTGGGAGTGTACAGCCCGACGTGCTGCAAACCCGGCCCCCTGTGCCTGGCTAGAAATTGCTCTACCTGGTCCTGTTTGTCAGTGGGTCCGGGCAGAGACTCTGCCAGCACGAGAGTGGGGACAGTGCTGTCCGGTGGGGTCTTCAGGGCGGTAAGCCTCAGACCCCCTCGCCCAGACTCTGCAGCCACCGTGAAGCCCAGCTCCGGATCCTCACCTGGGCCCAGCGGCAAGTGGTGAAACCCTAGGCAGTCGTGGAACCAGCGCCTAAGTGCAGGGGAGCTGCCGGAGGTGCAGGCCAAGGTCAAGTGGTCCACGTGGCTGACCCAGCCCGGGGCTGGTGTGCAAGGCAGGGGTCTGAATCCGGGCAGGAAGGATCCGCGGTAGCCAGCACGCTGCAGCAACGTAAGGCTAAGGTTACCAACCGGAGAGCTGACCACTGTGTAGACGGCTGTGCCCTGGGCATCTCTCACGCTAGTGGGTGGTACCGGCACGATGCAGCCCCGAGCCGCCAGCGCCCGGGCGGCGCCGCCCACATCCTCCACGTCCACGCACAGGTTCGTGGCGCTGGGCACTGAGTGATGAGGGTCCAGGCCGTACAGTGGCTCCCCGGGCCCCGAACCCTCGTTCACTAGAAAGACTGCGTCCCCGCTGCGCAGGGCCAGCTGCCTCCAGCCGCCTGCTTCCCGCACCGCCAGGGGCTGGAAGCCGAAGAGGCGGTGTAGGTCCCTCGCTAGGGGCTGCCTAGCTGGCACATGGAAGGAGATATGACACAGACGGCGGGCGGGCGCAGACATGGCCACCCGGATCTGTCCTCCTGGGGTCGCTCACTTGTTCGGAACTCCAAGACTCTAGGTCCCGGACGAGTCGCTGGAAGCTGGTGGCGTGCAGGTCTGCCCGGAGAGCGCGCTCCCCGGTCTCTTCTGGGCAGAGGTCACGGTCAGACCTTGGGGGATTGAGCCTCTCCGCAGCGCCACCGCAACCCGGAGCCGGCCGAGGACCACAGGCTCCGCGGAGCCGCTGGTGTGAGAACCACGCGGACGCGGGGCGGGGCGGGCCGGGAGGTCGGGGTGGAGCCTGGGATCCCGCCTTGACACGCCCCCCGCCCCCCCGCCCAGAACCTGTCTCTCTCCGAGGGCAGTTCCTTCCCAGGGCCTTGGACACCCTTGGGCCCTGAGCCACCTCTCCCGGGGCCGGGGAAGTCACAATAGCCACCTTCACTCTGTGCCAGGCGCACGCAACCTCAGAGCTAAGAGCCCGGATTGGGGAGGAGCCTTGATAGTTCTCCACAAACTCGGAATAGGGCTCCGTTAACTTTTTATTTACTTTTTTAAAAATATTAAAGTATTTTCAGTTACAGATTTTCTTTCCTTTTTTTTTTTTTTTTTTTTTGTTGTTGTTGTTGTTGTTTTGGTTTGGTTTTTGTTATTTTCGAGGCAGGTTTCTCTGTGTAGCCTTGGCTGTCCTGGACTCGCTTTGTAGACCGGGCTGCCCAAGATCTACAGCGATCTATTTCTTGTGCCTCCCTGAGTGCTGGGATTCCAGCCGTGCAGGGGTAACCGCGCCCGGCTCGGTTACAGATTTTTAATCTCCAAACGGGAAAGAGAACTTGATAGATCAAGTATTTGCATCTCTCTCCAATCAGGCAATCTCCACAGCACCTGCCTCTTCAATTCTGCTTCTAGGTCCAAGGGAGATTAGGAGGGGGGAAACAGCAACAAAACAAAAAACTAAAAAGCTATTGTGTTTTGTTTGTTGTTCCTGTAAGGAGCTACAGTTCATCGTCTTAAGAGGACTACAGTTAGAACACAGGCCTCCCTTGCTCTTCAATGTGTCCTAATTTTATGATCCAGGGAGCTCATTCAGGGAGATGAGTGAGATCACCAGAATGAGGAAGCTAGAAGTCTCGTCCTTGAGGTAAGGTTAGAGAAGGACATTGGAAGGGCAAAATGCAAGAGGAAAACCTTAGAGAAGAGGCTTGAGGGGTGGGTGGGCAGCATGTTGGAAATTCCCGTATCAGGCAGTGAGGACCAGACTTAGACAAGGAGGCTTGACGGGTGTTCAGGATTGCAAGCAGGAGGACACACAGACTCTCTTCCAATGACCAGGGATCTGGAGAACATGGATTCCAGACAGAGCTAAGCAGACCTGGGTTAGAAATTGCTCTCTAGGGCTGAAGAGATGGCTCAGAGGTTAAGAGCACTGACTACCCTTCCAGAGGTCCTGAGTTCAATTGCCAGCAACCAATGGTGGCTCACAACCATCTGTAATGGGATCTGATGCCCTCTTCTGGCGTGCAGGTGTACATGCAGATAGAGCACTCACATAAAATAAATAAATCTTAAAAAAAAAAAAAAGGAATTGCTCTCTAACATGGACTCACAGGTCATTGGATAATTGCATAATTTCTGTAAGTTTCCTTATCTGCAACATGGGTCCCCCCCCCCATTCAGTGGTGAGGATCAGTACACAGGCTAGGCAAGCACCCTAGTAATTACATTTCCCCTCTAATCCAGATTGCTGTGGTTAAGCGAGACACTGTAACTTTTCTGTCAATAGTTACTATTGTTCTAGTCTCATTACACAATGCCAAGCGGTACCTCCCAGCGGGCACTGTGTGACCTCTTTGGTGAGGTGGGAGTGGGCAGGGACTGCATGGGCTTGGGCCAAAGGCTAGGCAGGCAAGTCAAGAAGCAGCTCTGATAAAGCCCCAGAACAAGCTGTGACTCCTCTCAGGGAGCCTTGGACAGCATGATTTTTCCCCGTGATGCTAGGGGTTGAACTCAAGGCCTTGTGAATGCTAGGCAAACATTATCATTGATCTATATCAATGATAGAGGACTTCCCCAAAGTCCTCTTCCGCTTCATCCCTCTAAGATTCCTAGGCCTGAAGCACTGTGGCTAGTCTAGGGGACTCCTTCAGGGAAAGGTGTGTCCTAGTTATTGTACTGCAGCCTTCTGTTGACTGCATGGCCTTGAGCAAGGCAGTCCCAACTCAGATTTGTATAATCCCAGCTCAGTTTTCCCAGAATACTTCATGTTGAGCAGGATGACAGTTAACGATGGTTTCGTGCAGAAGCCTTAAACGACTGCAGAGACAGTGGAACGCTAGAGGCCTCACCTTCCACCTAAAGGAAATGTCCTTATTACTAGACCCCAGATTGTGCTCATTTTTTTCAGACATGTGTAGCTGGGAATTTGCAACCTGCAAGTGGCTGTGGCTGAAGCTTTAAAAACCATGAGTGTGTAGGGTCCGGAACTGTAGTGGCTTTGACCTGGCTATTGGTGGGTTTAGGTCAGACTGAACAACCATGACAAGAGGCCCTGAGTTTTTATAGTCAGGGCTCCATAATCTATACCCTCCAAGCCTTTGACGAAGGCCTATAAGTTTGCTTTCAAGAGCCCCAAGTACAAAAAAGTGGGCATAAGCAAGACCACTGGGCCTTCAGGTCCCACTCGCTCAGGAAGCGGACCGAAAAGCTTATGGATACTGAATGGAGGGTACAGTGTTTTGGTTGGAAATGTTGTGTCCAGGTAACAGACGGGTTTCCAAGGCGCGGTGAAGATAGATGTGGCTGCGGATGTTCGTCCCTTGTGGTGTCCAGAGCTCAGGGCTCCAGGGAAACTTCAGAGGTCTTATCACCACGACTGCCCTCCTGCGGGGGCTACTTGTGTTGGGGTCAGCAAGGGTAAAGAGAAACGGGGGATGCCGCTAGAAAGAAAGCCCACAGGCCAAGGAGCCAGGTCGTGGCGCTGCGAAGCTTCCTGCCACTCCTGCCTTGTGTGTCCTCTAGGTGAGGTAGAGGTGATCTCGGGCTGTGGAAAGCTGAGAAGTCCAAGCCCGTTCTGCAGGTCGCGACTCTAAACCTAGCGGATAGCTCGCTCGGCTTCCTAGGAAATCCTATCTCCCCGGGCTCTAGCTCCCCGAACCCCGCTCGGGAGGGACCCACAACCTCGACCGGCCCGGACCCCGGGGCCACCCAGCAGCTTGCACTCCGAAACCCTTCCTGGCTCCGCTCCACGCTCTTTTACCTTTCCCTTCCGCCGGAAGCGGCTCGGCGGAAGCTACCGCTGTTTTGGATCCGCCCTGTTCTCCTCCCTTGAGAGGAGAAGAAACCTCGCTGAGAAGGTGACCTTAATTTTTTCGAGTTGTAGAATGTTCGTAGACTCTACATATTTACTAACCAGTCAAAACAACGACAACAAAACGCCGAGTCTCGTGGAGCTCAGGCCGGTCTCTAACTCGTTTTGTAACTGAGGTGACTGGTACTGTTACTCCCCGCGCCTCCAGAGTGCTGGGATTGTCTGTGTGCACCGCGCCGTTCATGAAATGCCGGGCCTGGAACCTAGGACCTGATGGCAAGCATGCCACCAAGATACTTCCTCAGCCCCAACTTTACTTCAGAGAGTATAGTTATCAGTAGTAACTATATTTGAGCCGGGAAGAGGCGTCCCTCACTTCTTCACTTAGCTGTAGGGCAGGCCCTTAAGTGAGAGGAGCCAGCCAGGAAGGAGGCAGGCAGGTAAATACTGGAGGCCCCGGGTATAGATCCAAGGGAAAGGGCATCCCTAGCACACTAGAGGCCCTGGGTTACCCAAACAGCAAAAGCAAGATAGAAAATCAAATCCGGTACAGTTCCACTTTCATGAGCTCTGTTCTGGAGTATTTAAGAACATAGACACAGCTCATTGGTGGCCTGCAGAGCTGAAGAGGTGAAATGGTGAGTTGGGAATCTGAAAAGCAACAGGGTCTCTGTAGCCCAGGCTGACCTCAACTTCCTGGAAGCCTTCCTAGCTCAGCCTTCCAACACTAGGATGACAGGTGCAGGTCACAGAAGGAAGCTGCATGTATGTGTGTGCCACAGACGCGTGGAAACTGGAGAACGATTTCCAGGAGCGCTGTTCGTCTACTGTGTGTGTTCCGGGCTGGAACTCAGGTTACCAGGCTTGGTGGCAAGTGCCCTTTCCTGCTGAGCTACCTGCTGGTCCATTTGTCCTTACACAAACTAGCTGGACCTGGGAACGCAAGCCTGTAACCGCAGCGGCTCGTGAGGCTAATCCAGGCCTACAGAGGGAATTTAAGGACAGTGGGCAGCCTAGTGAGACTGAGCCTATTGCTCAATGGAAGGGCTCTTGGCTAGCATGTTTGAGGCCCCAGGTGTATCTTCAGTGCCACGAAATAAATAAATAAATAAATAAATAAATAAACAAATGGTACAGATCTACACTGGTGGCTTTTGACAGCTTGGGTAAACTTAAACTGTCTGCAATGTGCTTTTTCAGGTTTTAATTTGACTTTCCCCATCACTCTGCTTTAAAAGGCTCCAACATCATCAGTGAGTTTTATTTTGTCGGTTGTCAATTTTCTGCTCTTTCTGCCTTGGAAAGGTTTTATAACCGACCATTCTCTCCTTTTTTGTCCTTTGCCCCAGTTTCTGTAATGCCATACGCTCTTTCCCACTGGCTGGGTTGCGTCTCCCCTGCAGCTTTTGTGAGTTATGCTTTATAGAGGAAGGGTCCCCTGTAGCGTTGGTTGGTCTTGAGCTCACCATATATCTGAGGATAACCCTGAACTCTGGATCCTTCTGCCTCTGCTACCCAAGTGCTCAGATCACAGGTGCACGTCATAACTCCTTTGCCTGCTCTTAAATAGCCAAGCTATTTACCGTCCTCAAACAGAGGTCTCCCGTCCTAACATTATTCAACCGCTTAGTTGTTCTCCTGGCTTGGCTGTCCTACAGGTCCCTCAGACCCTCTATGCCCAACCCTGTTCTCCATCTTCTTGGCAGCTGTCCTAGCCAGAGACCTATAGGGTGCCAGATCCCCTCCTAATACATCTATTTTCACCTCGAGGAATGCCCTTATCCTTGCCTGTCCTGTTGCTGTCATGCCTCTGATGTCATTATATCTTTCCTTTTTCCTTCCATCTCCACTGTTTGGTATCACAGGGACAATGACCTTTTAATTGCCTCCCTGAACTTGAGTTTGCCCCTAAGAGCTGAGAAGTGAGGTCTAGTTTACTGTTCTGCTTAAAATTCTTCAGCAAGAGACGGTGCCGTGGCACACACCTGTAATCCCAGCACTCAGGGAGGCAGAGGC